TGTATTTACTCTCACCACTCTCCAAACATACAAACAAACACACATAAAGGCAACACATGTGACTGTCTATCATCAGCCATGTTGCAAATGTGAGCTATCTGACAAAATAGCCCAATTGAAATAAAAAACCAGATTTGCTATACACCCAACTACCTTTTTTTTGTGCCCTCACATTTCAGTTAAAATAGTTGGTATTAATTTGCTTTGCATAATGTGGGAAAGGACAAAAGGCCTTTGTATGTGTGACCACCTAATTTTTTAGATACATACATAATTAATAAATGTGGCATCCTTGTGAAGTTGAGAACATAATATACATATTGTAGAGATAGCTACGGTGCCGTTACGGAACTATTCTCGGTTCTGTTACGGAACCATTCTGTCGGGGTTTGTAACCGTCAGATCGACCTGTAAACGTCAGAGATAGTTGATCTAACAGTTGCAAACCCCGACAGAATAGTTCCGTGACGGGAACGTAGCATCTTCCTACATATACATATATGTGTATAATTTATTTGCCCCTTAATTAGTTAATTAATTAATTAATTAGGAATTTTGTCCTTTGGTACTAATATGATAATCTTGGTATTTTATAAATAATTTGATTGATAAACCTTTTTTTTTTTTTTTTATCCAGACATTTTTTGTAGGATACCTGAAATGACTGATATCTACTTGGATGTTCGGTGAATATCATTCAATACCAGAATTCATTATATCACACATGCTAGCATATCAGGTGTTCCTCTTGTTTGTATATAAAATAATCCAATTAATTAAAAATATAATCTAAAAACTAATTTAATTCAAATAAATTGCTGAATAATCAACTATTATTTACCAATTAAACACTTTAAAAAAAACAATTCAAAAGAAATATAGCAAACGTGTACACATGTCACACATAGACCAAATAGCCAAACCAGATCTCGTTTTGTTTCTTTAGTTTGATTCAGCTTGTTAAGATTCATGTTCGGATGGATTATTCATTTAACAAACGAACTAACTCGGGCTCGTTTTAAGCTTCTTTAGTTAACAAGCTGAGTTGAGTCGAACTTGGCTCATTGAGGCTCGTTAGGTTCTATAATAGGTTTTTTTTACGTAATTTATTGAATCTTTAGCTTATATTGATTTGTTAAGGCTCGGTTCGAATTGTTGAAGGCTCTAAGCCAAATTTAATAATATAGTCTCTGTGCATAATCATGTTTATTAAATTAACTAATATAAAATATTGGATTATATTTGATTTAACTTTATATTCCCTAAGGTACAAACCGACATAATATCCGGCCGTACCTTACCGTATGTTAGTTGTAACCAATCTGCACATGAGCCTCTTAATTATTTTTATTTATTTCCCCAATTATGTAAATAATATTTTCAATGACAAAATTGCCCCCTGCTGGTACTAAATGTTTTTTCAATGTTTAATTATATTTTTCAAATGCATATTGGTCAATTGTTAATTTTATTTTGGCCATTTTTTTTTTTTTTTTTTTATTTTTTTACTTTTGGCCAAATTGTGGATAAGATAGAATGTAATAATTAACGTTGATTGTTGTAATAATAATAAATTAATGGATAATAATTATAAAATATGTAAGTGATGGTTAATAATATAAAAATTTGTTAACAAAATTGACAGTAAAAGTATGGAGTAATTTATTGGTTTTTATTCTAAAAATTGAATGATGAAAATTAAAGTGGAAAAAAGGTAAATTCATAATATATACTTTTAGGAATATTTTTTATGAGTATCGAAATGTTTTATTCAAAATTAATTGAAGCTCCTTAGAAAATATAAATATATATATATATATATATTATATTTTTTAGATAATTATAACCACATTGTCCCAATCGAAAAAAGACAAATACAAATGAGAAAACAGGTTTGGCAGCAAAGAAAAAAGAAGTATACAAAGAAGAGATGGGATAAGTTCAAGCTTTAAATTGGGCAGCTTTATGTGCTGATCGAGTCTTCAACTTTTATCTCCATGCGGGTGGAATTAATACTGTTAGAATATCACTTGTGAGTTGTCACACATCGTTTATATCTGGAAAATAGATCCACCTTATAAGTTTGAAGGGCTACTCCTTTTTCCACCAATTGATTTTGGGATGGAACCTCACTTGAGCTTCATATGAGTTTTTTCTCGTTTTGGTGCGCTTCATGTTAGTGGGACCGCACTCGTTTTTCTCCGATTTCTTACAAATAGGTTTATTAAATGAAGAGGAAATAATCAGTAACTGGTTTTAACTTTAGATTTTTACAACTGTGGACTAAAATTTATCGAACATTACCCGTGGTTTCGTCAGTATTTGTTACTGTAGATTATGTACATAACATAATCTACATGTGTATCCAATAGAGAAAATTGCAATTTTAGTCAAATAACTTAGGTTGTTTCCCATTTTAGTCCACTAACTTAGGCCGATCCAAATTTGGTCCAAAAACTCCCAAAAGTTAGTTAAATCGGTCCAATTTCGGTCCCTGTCGCCGAAATTGATTGGTCAATTTCAGTCCAATTTTAGTCCAATTGGACTAATTTAACTAACTTTTGAGAGTTTTTGGACCAAATTTGGATCAGCCTAAGTTAATGGACTAAAATAGAAAATAGCCTAACTTATTGGACTAAAATTGCAATTTTCTCTATCCAATAATGAAAAACACTACTGAACCCGTAACGAGACTTTAACATTTTCCATAATTTTATATACGGTACAAATGAATAAAGAGAGATTTTTAGAGTGTTGTCGTATTGTGTTTGCTCGTATTTACACACATTACCTAAGTTTTTTATATTTATTTATTTTTACGTCGGATCCCATACACACAAAAGACATGCACAAATTCGTATTCATTTAATGACCGGTCTAACTATAAATTTTCCACAACATCATATTACAACACGATAATAATTAGTAGAAATAGTAAATGTTTAAATTACTGGTTGGTTTTGATATATGTATTTATCTTAAAAAACAAAATTTCCAGTAAAACAAGATTCGATAAAAAAATAATCACCTCTACAACATGAATTTAATGAAAAATAAAAATATAAAATGACAATAGATAGTTTAAAATGAAAATAATATATAAAAAATTTGATTATAATATAGAATATATAATAATTAGAATTAAAAGTGATATTAATTAATGTATATTAAATACTAACAAATAATGAAATAATGTAGTTTTTCCTTTTTATTTTCAAAAAATTACTTTTTCACCCTTTTATTTCCTTTTTCTTATGTCTTCCTTTTTGGGGATTAAAAAGGAGAAAGTGACCGTATACGGAATGTGCATACGGCACAGTACACACAGCGGCACACGCACTGGACGTGTGTTCTTCTTTTTAAGTGGGTCCCACTTTTTGGCATCTTTAATTAATAGGCAAAAAATCAACCCACCCTTGGTCATATCACCCCCAAAAATCACTCCATAGTACTCTTTTTTTTTTCCTTTTTTTTTT